GTAAAATATGTTGTTGGTTAAGAACTTAAGATTTATACTGATCACTCTCTGATCGACGTCTTTGACAATTCTCTCAACGGTAAAAAAGTCATGATAATAATTATTTTTTTCTTCCAATTAACGGAATGAATAATTACCAAGTACTTTTTGAACTAAGGAAGTCAACACCAGCAAAATTGCAATCTTTGCATCGACGAAACAATCACTTAGTTACAAGTAAAATATGTTGTCTATTGGGAATTACCGTGAGTCTCTTTCTCATGATAAAAAAAAACCATAATAATTATATGTATTTTCCAATGAACGAAATGAACAACCATAAAGTACTTTTTAAAATAAGAAAGTTAACATGAGCAAAATTGCCCTATTTGTACCGATCAACGCAATCACTTTCCAACATATATAATTACAGAGATGAAAACAAACGAAAACCACAAATTACAAGTAATAATCTATTAATTTCCTTTAGCTTTTATTATATGTCCGTAGATTTTCAACTAATGATTCTATGTAAACATTTGTGACCATAATATTGAACGCATATAAATAATTATGTATTTCGAAGCAAAATTTTATAACTATATATGATTTATTCTTGTAGTATACAAACTTTTCAAATTCGTTGATCCTTATTAGTTTGCATTTGTAACAATAGTGAAGTTTCAAAATTTCGTCAGAACAATAACACCTCTGTTGTTATTGTCTTGATTGTTTGTGGTATGTAATGATGTAAATAATTGATGTCCAGATACTCTTGTTGTTAAATTAGATTTCTAGCTAAAATTTGGTAAGTTTGTTATGAAAAAGAAGTGCATGCAAAAAGAAATTGAAGTCTTCATTGTTGCTTATTCAAGTTGTAGGGAAACTACACTTGAAATTTCACCCACACCCTCACGAAATTTTGAGGCTTGATTTTAACGAGCAGTCGAGCATAAACAACTTGTTTAGGCTATGCATGTGATTTTAGAGTAAAAATTGTGAATATTCGAAAGTTTAGAAGATCAAAGATTTGACTATAGATTAAGAACTAAAGAGGTGAAATTGGATCAGGTTAAACTCTTACGACCATAGTCGCGAACTCAAGATCCTTAGATCTCGATGCAGATTTTGCTTTAGAAATCGTCCTAGTGTGATAAGGATCAATTTTTACTTATAAAATCTTAAGATTTTAATATCTTAATATCAAAATCGGAATCTTTAACAACATTGATTTGATGTTTAGATATTTTCCATTCTATATGTTTCTTGTTTACCAAAAAAATGTTAAATTTATTGACTCTTGTTTTGTTTTTCTTTTTTAATAACAATATCATAACACATCTAAATTAAAATAAATAAAAAATGCCTAGATCTTATCGAACAAACAAAACACCTAGTTAATCAGTTATTTTTATTAGATCATATACCAAATTAAACATTGTATTTTGTTTTATACATGTTTTTTAGAACGACAACATTATATTAAGAACTAGCAAAAGCTAGAAGAAAAAAACATTAAGTAATTACAAAAATCGGATTTTGCACCCAACTAATCCACTTAATACTAAGCTTAGTACATCTAGAAGAAATCCATAGATAAGACTAAGATCAGATGAAATCCCAAAGCACCGCCTTGACAGGTTAGATCTTTGCAAACAACAATTTATTCCGAAATGACCAAGTCGCCCAAAATAAAGTAAGAACAACCGCATCTAGACATCTCTTCAATTAGAGAGACAATCGAATCGAGTCAATCCAAGATAACCAATCTGAAATATACGAAAAAACTGGCAAATCCAACTCCCACCATCTAGCAAGAAGACTCCACGAATCCAACGCCATCCCACAAGAGAAATAATATGATTAACCGTTTCAACATCAGCATCACAAATCGGACACAACACACAACACATAACCAACATCAATACCAAGTCTATCCAAGATTAAGTCTAGTAGACACCTTATTCAAGTTCAACCTCCAAAAAAACATATTACCTTTGGAAGGGATTAATCGATTCCATCTAGACGGTTGAAGAACAGCCTCCAAGATAATAAAATCAATCAAAGCTCGAGCTGAAGCAACTGGTGAAATCCACATAAGGGTCAATCGACCACTCGCAAGAACCCTCATAGTAATATGAGCAAGGCATGATCTCAACGACTCACACCGAAGCATTTCCTTGCCTCCTCTAGGATGCATTTTAAAAACTGAGAACCAATCAACCAGCCGAATCCGATCAAAAACCATACAAAGCTTATACAAATCTAAGGCATAAACCCTTAGCAATCGATCTTTAAAAGAAAGATTTGTATTTGTTTCTATTAATAAACTTTTTAAATCTATATTTGATACGTGTATCAAGTAAGTTAATTGATTCAATAAAGATAAATATGTTGGGTTAATCGGATTTATGAGTGCATGGGTATTTTGGGAAAACTTTTTTTTTATTTTAAGTATTTGATTTAGACTAGGAAGTTGTCTGCTTGCTTAACAAGTATTACGTATTGGTTTAGGTTACTACTTTCATTAGTATAAATAAGGACATTTATTCGTTAGTTTAGAGAGAGATCTACGGCTATAAAATCCTTTCTCACAGTTTTTCATGTTCCTCATTTGTTTCGTCTACATAGTTTCTCTTGGGCATCAAGCAAGTTCCTACCCAAGTAATCTTACACTTGGTATCAGAGCCTAGGGCTCGTGAAGGCGTAGGGTGGCCGGTTTGAGAGTCGGTTTCAAGAAAACTGTAGTCTTTCGCTGCGGGGCAGACACATCGGGAACCAGGTTTGGTTTAAGGGGGTGTGGATTGTTTTTGAGCGTGAGTTGAAGCATCTCAACAGCAACCCCAATTTTTCTTGATCGGGCTTGTTCTAAGGTAGATAGAGACTAACCGGAGGCGCGGAATAAACGGACGGGAAGACATCAAAGTGGGTGGCTTTGATTCGGTTCGTTTTGCGAGTGACGGGAGACGGTAAAGGTGGTCGTGACCTTGTCTTGTTGATCGGTGGAAGAGTGCTCTCGGAACAAGCTTAATTAAAGAGGTCGGGGTGGTGAAAAAAGGATTGCATAGTTCTTGATCGGGTTGTTCGTGATAAGGGGATACCGACGTAGGTGCATGAAATGTGGGCAGGAAGGATACGTCAAAGCAGGTAGCTTTGGATTCAGTTCGTTTGGCAGATTGAAAGAAAACGGTGAAGTAGGTGGCTTTGTTTTCTTGGTCGGTGGAGATGTCTCTTTGAAGAACGGTAATCGAAACAAAGGAAGAGATTGGAGAAACAACACGGTGTGAACATTATGGCGCTGGAAGTTCAAATCAGATGGCTTTGGATCTGGCCGGGGAGAGGTCGTAAATCCGGGAAAAGTCTAGATGGTAATGAACGCATCCAACGGGATGTCATGTTACATGTTACGTGTGTTGTGAACAATCAAAAGGGTATGGAGGACTTTGGACGTGATCAAGATGGAGGTCGGGTGTCCGAGAAAAGTCGGGATGGTTTGGGAAGACGGTGATTCAACATTGTTGTGAACGAGAGGTATGACAAATCCAATTAAGGGGATGATCGTTGAGTTAATCGAATTTATGAGTGCATGAGTATTTTTGGAAAACCCTTTTTTATTTTAAGTATTTGATTTAGATTAGGAAGTTGTCTGCTTGCTTAACAAGTATTATGTATTGTTTAGGTTACTATTTTCATTAGTATAAATAAGGATATTTATTCGTTAATTTAGAGAGAGATCTACAATAATCAAATTCTTCGTCATAGTTTTTCCTATTCTTCCTTTGTTTCGTCTACATAGTTTCTCTTAGACATCACGCAAGTTCCACCCCAAATAATCTTACAAAATAATGTTTCCGTACATATAACTCTTAGAAGGAAAAACTATAACTAAAACTATTCGGTAATAGTCATATAATTTTGCTTCCAAACTTATCTATAATAATAATTATAATATAGTCTTTATATTTTTTTTACTAATAGTATTTCGTAGTTATTTGACAAAATGCTTTTAAATATTAGTAGATTTTTTTATTTTTTTATTTTTTTATATGCTATATTTGACTTTTGACTAATTGAGTCTCAATCATCTAAATCCGTTTACTAATAATTAATCCCTTTGAAGTAGACAACCCCAAGTTATAATAACACTAGAATATTCCGTTCTACATTTCTCACATATATTATGGTGGACTACTTAACGTGATGCTGCCAATTTAGCCATTTAAATAGTGTATCGTGATTTATTTATTTATTTATTTATTTTTGAGTTATATTAGTCCATGTATATTTAAGAAAACCAAAAAACATATTTATACCAGGGACATAAATATAAGATTTAAACATATAGTTGTATTGTTATATTAAAAAGTTTCAATAATTTGGTTCAGACCATTTGTTTTGAAATTTGAAGTGTCTTTTTTTATTTATCATAATTTGAGTATTCTGGCAAGTTTTAACACTAATATTTGGGGAAATCCTTCTTTTTCTAATAATAGAGAAACGATCTTTTAAGATTTATTTGTGGATTAAGATCGCAACTTAGTTTCATCAACTTTGTGTTTGGAACTTGGAAGTATATGAATATGATGATGAATTCTTTGATAAAGCAAAGACATGCAAAAAACGATTTTCATTTTTATTATTTAAAGAGTTTTATTAATATTTATTATATAACCACCCAAACTTTCTAAGTTCTAACGGATCGTTGACGTTTCTTTTCATTTTTTATTAGTTTTCTATTTTTTTATTAGTTTTCTTAATTTTTATTAATAACATAAATTTTATAAATAAATAAATATAAAAAAAATAAAAAAAATAAAAAAAAAAACTGAACTAGACCAGAGAGGACAAAACAAATTTTGAACTCCAAATGACCAAATTAAGTAAAATCTCTTATAAATGAGTTGTACTTGATGAATAAAACCCCAAATTTTACATAAAAATGACCTTTAAACTAAAAAAAAAATGTCTACCAACACATCATTGTCATACATATACACATGGTGTTGGATCAAAATACAAGCCACCACTAAAAAATGTACACTTTTAACATATATTTCCATCCAAACTACAACATCCAAAATAACAAGAAATCATAATTCCAACTACAAAATAATAAAGAGATTGGAAAATAATATAAATAAATGAAACCTATTTTTCCAGTGAGAAAACATCATTTTGCACTCGTCATACGCTTGCTATCAGAACAGCATACTGCACCAAATGCAAGGAACCATGTCAACATTAGTACAAAATTTCATGTGAGATGATTAAAATATGCTTATATATATTATATACACCAATAACGAAACTATAAAAATATTACTAATTTCATGATGAAAAAATATATATGATACATACTGCACCTGCTAATAAATGCACGTGTGACGACATCCATTTGCATTTTATAAAAATGGGTAATAAGCTGCAAACTGCATCAAGATACAAAAATTTATATATATGAGACATTATCAAGTATAAATTTTCACAATATTCGTCAATTTTAATGTGAAAAAAAAATGATAAATAGGTAAAGAGTTGGTGCCTTAATACATCAAGTCAGTTTTTTTTTTTTTGCTTAATCTCTCATGATTAAGTGTCTAACCTATTAAGCCAGATTAAGTTAAAAGAAAAAGTCCCTTACCTCGGTTTTTGTAGAAGGATGTATCCTATCAATTGCTAGAAATGCCTCTTTTATCAACCATAATTCTTCTCAAATCTTGTAGTTGATGAGTTATTTCTTGAATAAATTCAAGGCCCTCACTTCCATGGAGTGAGTTACAAGCATGTTTAACAAGCTCAATATCAGCCTGTAAACCTTCAATCTTTTCTTTAAGCTCTACAAGTTCATGCTCCATGGTAGCTGAATCAATTTCATGGCATTTATCAAAAACCCCATTAGATGTCGCTGAATCTTTAGGTGTTAAAAAGCTGTTGTCATCATTCAAATGATCACCACCATCACCCAGTTGATGAAGCTTCTTTTCCAGTGTCGATAACGATTCCAAAATGTACCTTTTTTCATTCTCAAAGATTATAATAGGAACATGGATACTCCCCATTGATAAATCCCCGTATCTGATTCTATATTGTTCCAATTCATCCAACAAATCTTGAATTTCATTCTCTTTTTCTTCCACAAGCTCGTTAGCTTTCTGTAAAGCTTCCATATCATATTCCGCTTGTTCTTCCATCATTCTCAAGTACTGTAAGGCCTCCATTTGAAGAGAAGCTTTTTCTTGTTGTAACCTTGTGATCATGTTCATGGCATGATTTGCAGCTATTGTTGCAGCGTTTCTTTCGGCTTCTAATTCTGATTGCAACAATCTCAAGCATCTGACATCATCTTCTGCCTTTTTTTTCACTATCTCCACAATACCATCAACCTCCATTTCAGTGTAAGTACTTCCATCCAAAGATCTCGCATCCATTCTTTCTGAACACATTGAGCATGCATCGGTTCTGATATTAGTAGATGAATCTGCGTCTTTTGTGGGGATCAATGGAGGCAAATGTTTCTTATCTCTTTCGTTTTCTAGGTGGTCATGTCTTCTGGGTTTTTCAGCATGGAATTGGCGCTCTGGTGAAAGAGAAGGACTAGGTTTAATTTGGGATTTTGACCACTTTTCTTCTTGTGAACCATATCCGATTGAAGAATTTGGTGTTAAAGATTTAGAACGGCTTCTTATACTGTCATCAAGATGCATCTCTAGAAGTACGGATCCTAAATCGTTAGCACTTTGGGAGTTTCTTGAAAAGATTGCGTATCGGTTTCGACTTCCCGTGTCATTAGAGTAGACAGGATCATCAAAAGCATCATACCAGTTAGTGTTATCCATTGATAAATCACCTCCACCTCCACCTCCACCATTGTTGCCTGATTGTTGCAGTGGCCTCTTACCTTTCTTGGCTTTTGCACGTTCTTTTTTGCGTTTTTTATGAGGTAGTTGATTAGAATCGAGCTCTGGTGAAACAGAAGTTGTCCCGGTTTGGAATTGCAACCAATCCAATCCTCCTAAACCTTGACCGATTGAACAGCTTGGTGTCAACGATGCAGACTTACTTGTGAAACCTTCCTCCATAGGCATTTCCAAAGATGGCGATGTTAGATCAGAAACGCTGTAGGAATTCTTTACAAGCTTCCTGTATCGCTTCCGATTATTACCTCTTCCATGTGAAACAACAGAGTCGTCAAGAGATCCATGGTGACGATTATCATTATTATTATTAAATAAATAATTGTTCGATGAACCAAAACCGTTAACCGGGTGTGCTGGACCTGTTGGTTGTGGTATTGGGCCAGGTCTACTTTGGATCTTTGAATTCCTTGGTTCTTCAAAATGATGCCCATATGGACTTGGTGTTACTGATGCAGAACGACGACGTTTTGCGCTTTCTTTAAGATGCATATCTAGCAAAAGTGCACATTCCAACTCAAGAGCACTGTAAGAATGTCTTCGACGATTCTCATTCTGATTATGATTACCTGCATTACGTGAGATGAAAGAATCATCACAAGATCCATACCCATCGCTTCTAGGCCATGGCATCGCTTTTCGTTGTGATGAACTAGTGTTAGGTTTATTTTGGAAATTCGGCTGATGAAATTCTCCCAAACCATGTCCAGATGAATAGTTTGGTGCAGGTGAAGGGTAGGAACGTTTTAAGCTTTCGTCGAGATTCATCTCAACTAGAAGGGCACGACCCAAATCAAAAGCACTATACGAATGTCTTCGAGGAACATTATTTTGATTCTGATTATTCATGCTACGGTATACAACAGAATCATCCATGGATCCATGCCATATATTCTTGTCTAAAAAGGAGGCGGTTGAGAAATCGTTACCGACATCAGACGATAAGCTGAATCTTTTAACAGACCCCGTCGGTGGATGCAATGGCACCCCATTATGATGTAATGGATGCGGATGACGAGACTTGTGCTTCTCCGGTGAATGACAAGGACTGTTCTTAATATGGAATATCGACGACCTCTGTGGTTCACCATTTGGCGTAAAAAATGAAGATTGACTGGTCACACTTTCGTCGTCGTGAGGCATATTCAGAAGAATATCACCGCCTAGCTGGAAAACACTATATGAATGCCTTCGAGGAAGTGTATTTTGACCACGGTTACTGTTGTTACGTGGGACAACAGAATCATCGAGAGACCCATTGCCATGATTCCTGTCTAAAAACGGATTATGTGAACGAGAATAATTGGGTCGATTTTTGAATTTTGTCTTGTTCTGTTCTCCCAAACCATGAACAATTTGAGGATTTGGGGTCATTGATGCAGAACGCAGTGGACGTTTTAAGCTTTCATCCTTTTGCAACTCGAATAGAAGTGCGCATCCTAACTCCAAAGCACTGTATGAATGTCTTCGAGGGTTTGAGTTTCTGTTTCCGTTTTGATTACCCGTGTTGTTGTGTGAGATAACAGAATCATCCCAAGAGCTAGGCCCGTCACTCTTGTGTAAATATGGAGATGGATTCTTCTTAGCTCTTTTGGCTCTTTTATTAGGAAATTGCATTGGATTTGGCGTGATGGATGCAGGAGGATTTGTTAAAGTTTCATCATTAGGCATATTTAGAAGAATTTCACACCCAATCTCAAAAAAACTATATGAATGCCTTCGAGGAAGGGTGCTATGGTCATAACACTGGTTACCTGTGGTACGAGAGACAAAAGAATCGTCCATAGATCCATACGCGTTATTAGGTCTTTGTATTGGGAATAACATTGCATTGAGAGAATCGAGGTCTTGTGAATGTGAATAGGAATAGGAATGAACAGGCCTCCTATTACTATTAGGATCTTGAAAACCATAACCAAAAGAACCATTTTGTTGGAAAGATGCAGAAGAATTACTTGTTAAAGGTTCATCAGTAGGCATATTCAAAAGAATCTCACACCCCAGCTGGAACACACTATATGAATGCCTTCGAGGGATCTTGTTTCGATTCTGAGTATCAGTGTTACATGAGATAGAAGAATCATCAAAGTGCCCATATGAACCTGACCTTCTCATGGAGCTGGTTGATGATGACGACTTCTTACTTTTCTTGGCTTTGTGAAGATAATTTTGGACTGTTTCATGAGAAGAAGCAGGTTGTGTTTGGCATTTTGGCCATTTAAATTCTCCAAAACCATGACCAGAACTATTGGGTGTCACAGATGCAGAACGCCTTGGTAAACTGTTAAGTTGCATTTCCATAAGAATGGCAGACCCCAAATCACAAGCACTGTAAGAATGTCTGGAAGAAATCCTGCATTGGTTCTGACTCCCAATGCTATTGGATGCCATACAACCATCCATTGATGAAGATGGTGATGGATTCATGTATTTCTTGGGTTTAAAATAAGGATTATTTTCTTCACTTCTTCGAAGGGATCGAGCAACATTTGGTGTCACGGATGTTGAACGAGTTCTTACACTAGGCTCATGAAGCTGCGACTCAACAAGAAGGGATCCAAAATCAGGTGTACTATACGAATGCCTTCCAAAAATCTTGTTTCGATTATCACCACCATTTGTGACACCTCGCATGATCAAGCTTCCATCATCATCATCAGAAAAAAGGAGTTCAAACTCTGACTCAGAGGTAATGTTGGCATCAGAATATGATCCAGGAGACATTGAATACTTACGATGATGACGGTTTTTCGTTTTATTTCTTATCCTCCTCACACCATCTCCATGCCTAGACCTAACACGTCTAGTTGGACCTGGACCCGGACCCGGGCCCACACGAGGCAATGGAGGTTTTGTGGTAACATTACTATTACACCCCCTTGACCCAACCATATGCGGGTCAATCATGGTTTGACCACTCGGTTTTTCTTTCCATTGTCTTTTACAACAAGAACATGTTCTTATACTGGAACCCATGCAACCAAGATTCTTATCCACCACAAACCTGTAACATTCCAAATTAGATTGGCTATGTAAACAATCTTCACATATCTCTCGTATATCAACAAGCTCATTGTGAAGATTGCAATATATCAAATACGAGATATCTTCTTGGTGTTTATTGCAGAACAAATGAAAATAAGATCCGGGTTCTTCTTTGTCAAAAAAGTGGTCAAGCCTCGAACACAACAAGCATGGGATTTGTAGATCGCAGTAGCGAGCGAATTTTGTAAGAGAATAAGCCAATGCCGCATCGATAAACACCCAAAACATTAAAAACCATTCGCAGGTAGCCAATAACAGGTGATCGATTAATCCCTTGGTGGTAGCCATTGGCAACATACTGAAACCTTCCTTTTTACCCCTTAAAAATGGCCTATAATCATTGCGTTATCAATTTGCTCGTGTATTTCAAGATCATAGGATCCCAAATTTAGGGTTCAAAAGGCTGCAAAAGGAATTTATTTTTTTTAGATTAAGAATGATATTGAATAATATGAAACAAATGAGAACACAAAATTGAAACTTACAACGTAAAGCAAACACCAAACTCTTGCCCTGATTGCGAAACGAAGCCCTTCACATGATAATATTAATCTATGAAAATTTATGAATCGATTGTGAAAAGTAATTGTGCATGGATGAAGGAGTTGGAGAAGGTTCCCGGGGATCAATAGTATGAAAAATCGGAGCTAAATTAGGGTGGGGAGGATTTATGTGAATTAAATGAAAAATGAAGAAAAATAGAATGTTAACGAAAGGCCATTGTGATTTTGGCTACAAAAATCATTCGACCGTTGAGTCTAACTGATTTTTAGATTCTTCATGCTACCAATCATTTTCCTGCCAAACCAAACGATCAATTTAATATTAAAATAAAACAATTTAAAGCATAACTGGGTTTTATATTCATCGAGATAAATAAGAATTCATTTATGTACGACAAAACTGCACAAATGGTTCTTGTGGTTAGCTGAAAATTGTCATTTTGGTCCAAAAAGATTTGGACTATCACTAGAGGTCCAAACTTTTTATTTTCTTGCGAGTTTGGTCCAATTTGTTTTAAATATTTTTATAATGACGGTTTTGCCCTTATGCTTTTTATTTTTCAATTTTTTTTATTTATTTAAATCTTTTTCTGATTAAAATAAAAATTAAAAAGAAATAGTTCTCTCTCTCTCTCTCTTTCTCTCTCTCTCTCTCTCTAGAAACATATAACCCTCCCTCACTCAAACCATCTCTCCCTCTCGTTCGTATCTCACCAGCCAATACCACCGTTTCCTGACCTCCTCCATCTTCCTCCTTATTCAAACCAAGAACCACCACCACCTGCTACCATTCCTCTCCATTCACCGCCGAGGACAAACACCACCAAGGGTGGTGTTACTGTGGTGACCACCAAGAGGCACACTCACCTCCTGTGGTGACCATCCATCGTGAAGGAAAACCCCAAAGTGATTGGGTCGACATAATCTTTGGATCTCGAACCTCCTGAGAATCGACGAGCACCACTGGCTTGATGTCGATTTTTGGATTTCTCGGTAGAGGCGAAGGCGATGGTCGACGAATTACAGTTTCCTACCCTCCAGATTTAGCGATTGTTGTGGAATTTGTCTTGATTGTTACGATTGGGAGATTCGTTTTGGTGAAGATCACCCCTACATCTACAAAAATCAATTTTAGGTTTAGGGTTCACATCAGAAATTGATTCAGATTAAGCGATGGTTGTGGAATTCATGTCCTTCTCTCTTTCATCTAGTTGATTGCTCCTGTTTATCTCTCTGATCTTTGTTGACCCAGTTCGTTTGATGTATTTCCGATGGATGATTCAATTTGGTTAATGTTTCAAGATTGATTTTGGTTTTAGGTCGCAGGTAACCGGTGGTGTTTTCCTTTTTTGTATCTGAACAAATCGAATTCAAAAGTGGTTTGTACATGGGTGGGGAGCTGCTGGTAGATGAAGGTAAAAGAATGGGGTGATGTCTCTAATTGTGGGTGCAGTAATGGGTTTGATCTGAAGCAATGTAGAAGGAGTTTGATCTAATGATTTGCATATGTGTTGTGGATACAAAGGAATGGGAGGTGGTAGATTGGTGACTGATTGCAGCGCATGGCAGGTGAATGCTGGAACGGAGGCAACATGTGGAAGGTAGCAGCGACGTTGGGGTGTTTGATGGCAATAGGTCACGACAGGGGGAGGGCGGATTGGGCTGAGAACAACGGTGGCAGCCGGTGGTGCTCGTTCCGGCGACTCCTGCTGCTTCTGTTTATTTCTTCCGGCGAGGTCAACGCGTGAGAGATGAGGGGAGGAAAGAGTAAGGGTCGAGGATGTTTGGGGCTGCTGTACTTGACTGGAACGAAAATGGAGAGAGAGAGAGAGATTCTTTTTTATTTTTCTTTTAATCAGAAAAAACATTTAAATAAATAAAAAAATAGAAAAAGAAAGTACAAAGGGTAAATCCGTCATTTTAAATATTTCTAAATTAAATTGGACTAAAATCGCAACAAAATGAAAACTTTGGACCTGTGGTGCTAGTCAAAACTTTTTTGGACCAAAGTGGCAATTTGAGCAAACCACAGGGACCATTTGTCCAGTTTAGTCTTTATGTACACATGCTTTAAACATGCTAATGAAGGAAACATGTAAAACATATTTAATTTCAAATTTAAATACTAATACAAATTATATACATACATTAAAACCCTTCTATACATATATTAAAACCCCTTATGCTTGTGAACAGTAAAGTTCACCCGTTTCATATGTTAACCACAACAATATGTACACAAATGACTTTCTCATCCTTCTAACTACCTTATTCCCTAATCGATATTCCCACCGTCAACTCCTTCCTTCTTCATTTCAGAGTTTCTGCGTCCGCCGTCTTTTCCTCCGAGCACTTACAATTTGGATTCCAACAATTCCGACTCATAAGGTATGTCAATTACAAACTCTTTCTCGATCTCATACGCAAAGCAACTTTCTCCAATCTTTGTGAATATTTGGAAATTCCCGCCGCCATCGTATTAATTCCTTCGTTCTTCGTTTCCGAGCATCTGCGTTTGACGTTTCCGCCGTCTTTTCCTCAAAGCACTTACAATTTGGACTCCAACAATTCCGATTCATAAGGTATGTCAATTGCAAACTTTTTCTCTGAAAATTTTGTTGATTTCTAAAATACTTCTTCAATCATGCTCCTAGTCGCCTACCCCGTCTAAACTATATTGCAATTCAAGTTTGGGTTTGTTCTCTGTCGATTGTATATGATATTGATTTTCTGTTCCATTTTCAATTTCAAATTTCTTCCTTTCCAACTTTGTGGGTTTGACGTTTGAATTATGGGTTTGACATTTCCGTCTTCTAACTTTGTGGGTTTGACGTTTCCGTCGCCAACAAACGGTCGTGCTCTGTTGCCGCCTCCAACCGTTTACACTCAGTTGAAATTTGAGGTCTGGGTATGTTCTCTATTCTTTGTATTTGATATTGATTTTATGTTCCATATTCAATTTCGAATTTGCTCTCTTTCTTCCTTTCCAACTCTGTGGGTTTGACATTTCAAAAACCTTCTCGATCAGGAATTTAGGATATCGATTTCTGGGTTTTGACATTTTCGACCCCTTCTTCATCTTTAAAATAAAATTAAAACCTTGAAAATTAGGGTCTTTGAGTTTATTGGTTATCAGGCTGGTATAAAATGACATTAATAGAAAATAGGATGCTATAAAATGACAAATGAAAGTAAGTTGCTGTAAAATGACATAAGGCAAAATAGTTTAGTCAATTTATATCAACAAACCTTCTATTGAAAGCCACAGTAGCAATCATGGTTGCAGAAATCGAGATTAATCAGCGATTAATCGCTTGACGTTCTCCAACCGTCGAGGATTAGGGTATTAATCGGAAATTTAGGATTAATCGGGTTTGGCGAGATTAATCGGTCTTGGCGGGATTAATCGGTCAACAAAAGTCAAAAAAGTCAAAAAAAAGTCAAATAAATTTAAAAAATTTAAAAAAAATTAAAAAATCAATTTTTCTTTTTACTCCAAAATTTTCAAGTTTTCAAATTTTCAAATTTTCAAATATTATACCAAAATGTTCATATTTTCGTATTTTCAAAATTTCAAATTACAAAATATTATACCAAAATGTTAATATTTGATTAATTTTAATATTTTATTAATAATCTATGGTCCCCGATTAATCCACGATTAATCCCCGCCAAGACCGATTAATCCCTTAACACCAGTCGGCCGTCGAGCTACGGTCGAACGATTTTTACAACCTTGGTAGCAATAAGATGACGTAATGGTTTTTTTCTATTTGTCCAAAAATAATAATAATATGGTATGGTAACAATTATAATTATTAATAATATGAAACCAAGAGAATAAACACCCATGTCAATAAATATTTTCAAATTCATTAAGTCATGAAATACCAATACCCCTCCTAGATAATTACATCATATGCATTCACCTGTAAAACACACAAAAAAAAGTTAAAAAGATAGTCTTCAACTTAAACAATGTATGCATAACATATTGGAGCAAAAACTATGTGTATTTGAATATTAGCTTAAAATAATATTAAGTCATTTTTCTAACTTTAAGATTAAAATTATAAACTGTTTAGAATATTATCCTAATAGAAATTACAATATTGTGTTGGAAAATTGTCATTTTATTGGGTACGTATAAAGGGCTCCACTTGTGGCATGTGGGAATAAAAATGTTATAGAACTGTGTGCTTACTATTTTAACAGAAATGGTTAATTATATATGAAATATGTTCCTCTTTGCAGGCGTTTTAGTTGAATTTATAGCAATGTATGTTTATTTTGTTGTTCCAAATCTAATATCTTTGATTAATGACTAATTTAGTAGTTTTTTTTTGTGTGAGGCCTCCTAAACGACGAAAATGGCTATTTTTTTTAAAAGTATAATGCCATTCTTATTAGTTTTTGTTAAAGTATAATGCTATTATGGGCTTAGTTCACTACTGGTTGAGACAATTTTTAAAGTATATTTCCATTCTTTTTAGTTTTTTTTAAGTATAATGCTATTATGGGCTTAACATTTAGAAAAAATACCATTATTTTTAGTTTTTTAAAGTATAATGTTATTATGGGCTTAGTTTGCTAACAGTTATGACATTTTTAAAGTACAATGCCATTCTTTTTAGTTTTTTAAACTCAAACTGTGTTAGATGCATATTCATGCATTCATTTTGTAGTTTTAGTTCATAAAAGTGCATTGCATTTAGGTTTAAACTCATGCATTTTGCATATTTTTCGGGATTTTTCATGATGCAATTCCATTCACACACTTTTATGATATTTCAGGGACTTTTGAAGGTTGGATCTTGATGGAGGAAGTTAAAAAGAGTTGGAAACAAAGTTTCAGAAGTTTTGGAGCATTGAAGAGAGAGAGAATGAAGAAATGAAGATTTGAGCCTTTCAGACATTTACACGGCCGTGTAAATGATGGCTTATAATTTACACGGGCCGTGTAAATGCATATGCAAGAGCGTTCTTCTTTTCTTGTTTACACGGTCGTGTAAATGGCACCCTTTAATTTACACGGGCCGTGTAAACGTCTCGACAGATTTTAAAGTAATTTTACTCTCATTTAATGGGGACAATCAGTTTTGTTGGAGGTTAGGTCGGATTTTGGACAGGGAGAAGGAGATTTTCAGAGCTTTTGGAAGTAGATTAACACTTGGAAACACTTTAATTTCCTTTTTGTAAGTCAATTTGAAGTTTGAACTTGTTTGATTTGTAGTTTAACCTAGTCATGTGTGGTTGATTTCATTATCATTTCCGAATCTGAATTCTTAAGTATGTGTTGTTAGGTTGTAATTTGAACTTGATTTGTGTTTAACATCTAGTAATCTTTGATTTGATCTTAATCATGTGTTTGGTTAGTTCTCTTTTTCACTTGATCAATGAACTATGGTTCTTATCAATCTAGTTAATCAAATTATGAAATTCGTATATGTTTTATGATTTGATGTTAGTAACACACACTTACTTGGTTGTAATTAGATCAAAATTAGTGCAATCAAAGATTAAATGTTTATATTCCCAAGCTTAAGAGGAATGTTAAACATTGTTGGTAATTAGTGCAAAAACTTAATGTCATTTAATGATTTGATGCAAGAACTTATTTGAATTGAATCAATTAAATGAAGTTTTATTTGAAGAGCTTGTTTTGAATAAAATATTTTTGCCAATTTGGATATTAGAGTTTATTAATATCTAACTTACCAACCTAGATTGAACATGAGTTATAATCATATTACATCTTTCAACATAATACATGTATAAGAGTCAGAATCGGAAATGTACTTCTTTTACTGCGTTTTGTTATCAATCTTTCTTATTTATGAAGTTTAATTCAAGTTCAAACACAATCCCCCATTTTAATATTATTTGTATTATGTGTGAGAATATGGCAAGATAAGAAGTCCTGTATTCCTGTGGACCGACCCTGCTTACTCTATACTATCTTTAGTATAAGAAATAGCAGTGACTTGAGCTTTATTAATATTATTTATCCCATTATTTGTTGGTTTGACACGCCTAACAAATTGGCGCCGTTGCCGGGGATACGGTAGTACTAATTGTTTATGCCAAGATCTTTTCGCACAGGTACACCTTTACCAGTTGATTTGGAGATAGAGAAATCTGCAAAACAAAGAAGGAAGCAAGCTAAACTTTTAAAGAAACAACAATTCGGAGCTTCTTTATCAAATCCATCAACCACATCTTCACCAACATCCAAAAGTACCACCCCACCATCTTCACCTACTCCTACCATGGCAGACAACCATGGAGGAAACCCACCTCCAAACCCACCACCTGAACAAACCTTTAGACAGTGGGCTACTCAAGATGTCACCCAACAACCTTTGTGCATAAATTACCCTGCAGCAATCAACTTTGAACTCAAGTCTGGACTCATCCATTTGTTACCCTCATTCCGTGGTCTTGAGAATGAAGACCCACATAAATTCCTTAAGGAATTTCATGTTGTTTGTGTGGGTATGAAGCCACATGAAGTCACAGAAGATCAAATCAAGTTAAGGGCATTCCCCTTTGCTTTACAAGATTCAGCCAAGGAGTGGTTATATGACTTACCACCAGGGTCAGTCACAACATGGAATGAACTTGCAAGGATGTTTCTGGATAAATATTTTCCAGAAATGAGAGCTTCAGCTTTACGCAGAGAGATAATTGGTATCAAGCAACAAAAGAGAAAAGCCTTGCATACTTATTGGGAACGGTTCAAGAAATTGTGTTCAAGATGTCCAAAACATGGGATTACAGAATATCAGTTGTTGCAGTATTTTTGTGAAGGAATGTCATCTTGGGATAGGAGATTACTCAATGCATCAAGTGGTGGATCTATAGCTGATAAGACTCCAACAGAAATCAGAGTTCTTATCAAGAACATGGCAGAAGTGTCCAAGCATACAGTCCAAGAAGAAGAATGGTACATGGATGCACCCCGAGGTGTAAAGGAGGTCCAAACTCCTCAAATTGAAGCTCAATTGTTCGAGCTTACGAAAGTGGTTATGATGCTAGCCAAAGACAAAGGTGTGCAACCCACACCCCGTCCATGCGGTATTTGTACTCAAGTGGGGCATCCAACCGACATGTGCCCTCAACTTCAAGAGGAAGATTATGAAGAAGCAAAAGCCATGGGAGGTTTTCTTGGGTCTAATCAAAGGGGATATGAGCAGCCACGAGGTGATCAAAGATGGAACAACAATCAAGGTTGGGGAGGAAATCAACAAGGGAACTATCAACCAAGTCAACCACATCAATACCAACAAAGACCACCTTTTCCACCACAAAACTTTCAGCCAAGGCAACCACAACACCCTCCTCAACAAGCGGGTTCATCAAGTATGTCTTTAGAGGACATAGTGAAGAGTTTGGCAACCAGTACACAAGCTTTCCAACAAGAGACAAAAGCAAGCATAAAGAACTTAGAGAAACAAGTTTCACAGCTTGCTATTTCCGTAAGCAAACTAGAATCTCAAGGAAAGTTGCCTGCCCAAACTGAAGCAAACCCAAGACACAATGTATGTGCCATCACATTGAGAGGCGGGAAGAGCTATGATGGTCCAAAATTGTCGGTTGATCAAAAGGAAGAAGAAATGGTGGTTGAAGAGGCAACCAAAGAAGAGAAGGAGGAAGAGAAAACAATCGAAAAGAAGCCCTTCATCACTGAGTCTAAAGCCACACCTGCTCCATTTCCCGAAAGATTAAAGAGCACGAAGAAAGAACGGGAGGAGAATGAGATCATGCAAATGTTCAAGAGAGTTCAAATTAACATTCCACTCCTCGAGGTCATCAAGCAGGTACCTAGATACGCAAGGTTCCTTAAGGATCTTTGTGTATCTAAAAAGAAATTAAAAGGAAATCAAGTCGTAACAGTTGGGGAGCATGTATCCGCGGTTTTGCAAAAGAGGATGCCCCCAAAGTGCAAGGATCCCGGTGTCTTTACCGTGCCTTGCAAGTTGGGGAATCTTTATGTACCCCGAGCTATGCTTGATCTAGGTGCATCCGTAAATGTCCTATCATATTCTCTTTTCAAATCAATTGGTGTAGGAACATTGAGCAAAACCGGTGTGATCATCCAACTTGCTGACCGGTCTTTGGTACACCCAAAGGGAGTATTAGAGGACGTGTTAGTGCAAGTCGATGAATTTGTCTTCCCGGCTGATTTTTATGTCTTAGATATGGGAGATGATGACTCTCCAAGTTCAAGTTCCATACTTTTGGGTAGACCTTTTCTTAAAACTTATAAAACAAAAAT